TACACACCACGACACACACACACACACACACACACACACATATATATATATATATATATATATATATATATATATATATGTATATTTTTTTTTATTATTTATATTTGAAGAAAACAAAACTACATGTAAAGTTGGGTGATCGAAATTGTGGACAAGGTAACGAAAAAGAACAGGAATGAGTAATTACAAAACTTGCTCATGTGGCCCCCTCTTTCGCAAAGGGTGAACACTCTGTTCACCTATCACCAAGCATGCTTATACACCATTTGGTCTGAGCTACTAGCATCAAATATTTGATCAAACACTTGCTGCAGTCTCCAGGGACATGGGGATAGCCTTTTTGGCCAATTTATCACATTCTTGACGCCACTTAAACTAATGAGGATAACCCACCTTCTATCGAACTGATTGAGGCCCTCTAGTATGGCATGTGCCTTGGCTGAAGTCAAAGTTGAGTTGCATGTCCAACCAGCCTCTGAGAGGACAAGAGCATATGCCAGCTAAACCCTCAATACCAGCCTGAAAAGGAGCAACCATCAAAATTGAGTTTGGCAGTGTTTGGAGAGGAAGTAACCAAGGGATGGATCCAAGATGGTCATTGGGGTGGTTCTTAAGACAGTTTTCCAATATAGTGCTAAGCGCACCGCAAGTCCTAAACTCCTCACAGTTGCTAACCCAGAAATTAAACTTCTTTGTCCTTGATGCCCCCTATCTGAGATTTTTGGCCCCCAAAAACCCAAGTGTAGGCTTCCAACCTACCTATACTGAAGCTAGCACAGAAGCACATCCTAGAAGCAAATCAAGGCAGGATAAAGAGAAGAAAGGTACACCACAAACAAATGTTGTCCTGTTTCAGGTGCCACCCACAACCAACTCAACAAATTGAGCAGGAAAGACCACGTTTGGTCCACCACAGCACAATGAAGGAACAGGTGATCTATGGTTTCCTTGCAAGCTTAGCATATGAACATGATACATCTATTAGTTGGGTGCATTTCTCTGCTGCATAATCTGGTCCACCGTGAGAACCTTTTTTATTATGACTAACCAACTGGAAACCTGGTCTTCAGGTGGGCCTTTGTGTAAATCAGGCTTTGCTGGTTGTGCCTCAAAAATTAGCTGAAGGTTATCATAAAAGGACGAAATTGAGAAAGGCCTGAGACCGAAGTCAACACCATCTTATTCCCCATTAGGAGTGGCAATGGTCGGAGTGACATGGCCCAGAGCCCGGCACTAAAAATTTAGGGTATGTGCCACATTTGGCCTGACCACCACCGACCGTGGGCTGGCCAGGTCTGGGCCAAGGCCGAGATAGGGGCAGCCTAGTTTGGCCCAGCCCAGCCTTTTGTTCTTTGTATTTTTTTTATTTTTTCCCATTTGGCCCAGCACGGCCCTGATAAAGCTTGGGCTAGGCCTGAGCCAAGGCATCTTTGGCCCGCTGCTCCAAGTCTGGGCCGACCCTATTGGGATCAGGGGGAGGGCTGGCCCAGCCTGTTACTAGCCCTACCACAACCAAAGCAGCTGGCAAAATGGGATTTGAGGACTCTCCAACTCTGTGAACTCTGTACCACGGATATTTCTCATAAATAGAAACGCCTTGGTCTTCTACCACCATAAAGAGGTTAGGGAACAATGTTCCAAGATACTCTTTCCCAGCCATAAGTCCTTCACAACCTGATGTGGTTCCCTGTTTTAGCCAAGAATCGAGTTCTACTAATAAAAGGTGAGTAAATAAAAGGTGAGTAGAAATGGCCCCGCCTTCGGTGCCTCTTCCTCCCCTGTACCACAATTATGCCCATCTTCTTAGACCTTCCTCTTCTCTCTGCTCCTCCTTTCTGCCTCCAGGTCCTTCCTCTCGTGTCCCCCCCCCTCCTCCTCGGTCACCCCTGACTCTGCCTTCCCACCATCCACCCTCCCCTCCACCCCTACCGACCTCCCTCCCCCACCCCTACACAACCCTCGCTCCCTCCCTCCACGTCTACTCTTGTCTTTCCTAACCCTCCTGTCTGCGTCAATCCCAGTTTCTTCATCCTGCTGAACGGCCTACACATCTCGAGCCTAGCTATGAAGCTTCGATCCTCGCTTGTTGGGAGTTTCCACCCTATGAGAGACGACATCCGAGGCATTGAGAAATGGGGACAAACCTTTTGGAAGGAGATTGATCTAGCTTGTCATCGCCACCCAAATGGCTACACTCTCTGCACTTTCCCATGTGCACAATCTGCCAAACATACCCTTCGATCCCAATCTCCTTTTAAAGGAGTGTCTCTTTCTCTTGGGGAGTGGTCACCTCTTCTAGGCACTTGCAGATCACAGAAAATGTGGCTCAGGGTGGACGACACCCCTCTGCAGGCTTGGCATCCTTCCTCTTTCAAGTTCATCGAAGAGAGATGTGGGAAACTTCTCATCATCCATTGGAAATCCTGCGAATTTCTCCCCTATGTTGCTTGTGGAAGTTCTTGATCCTCACTCCGTCCCGCCTGGGGCCTTGGTGCTGACTGAACATCAAAGGAGCCTATTTCCGTGTGGTCACTTCCTAGTCATCCACCTCCCCGGCCTCCACTTTCCATGTCCAGAGAGTTGGCCACCCTGCCAATGTTGCGAACCATGACGGATGGACTACGGTTCCCAAAACGTGCAGAAGAGGTCGCGTCCCAAACCGCCAAATCCTTGATCCTATGGACCATCCCCCACACCCTCTGTGGTACTCTGGACCCCAACCTCGGACCATGAACAGACCACCGAATCATGATCCCTCTTCGTGCCTCAAGGAACCCTCCTCAACTGACGTCTAGGTCCCTGACCGTTCGTTGCCTTCTTCCCGCCTTTAATTAGCCTGCCACCCTCCCCATTGTCTCTTGATGATCACATAACCTCTTCTCTCCTCCTCTCACCTACCCTTCTTGACTCTGCCATCCCTTCTTGTTCGTATGCGGCCTCTTCCTTCCTCCCTCTTTGCCGTCCCACCCCGTTGCAGCTTGCCTACTCCCGTCGACATTCCCCACTCCTTTTCCCCCTCAACTTCCCATCTCCACCCTTTGCCATACAACTCTTCCCTTATTGATCCACCTGTCCTTCTCCCTCCCCCAAAGCACATGATATCCCCTCCCCTCCCCCAAGCCCAGTCGCCCTCTCGGCTAGCCTCTGACACCCTCGCCTCTTCGGTTCCTCTTCTTGCCTCCCCCTCCCATCGCCCCACCCTCACTGGCTCCCCTCACCCGCCTAGATACTCCATCTTTACTCTCTCCACCCAATGGCCTTCACCTCCAAACCTCATCCCTTTCCCCTGTTGTTCATGGAAATCCTCTTGATCCCATCCCCACCCTCACCCATAACTCATCTGACTCTCATTTTCTCCTTGATGTCGCCCCTTCCTCTGCCACCACCACCATCGGCCCTCCCTCCTTGGTGGAAACCTCCCATTCTTCATCCGATATGGTCCCTCACAATCGCTTCAAGCCCAGGTCTACTTCTCGTCCCAGCACCACCACACTTCCTCCTCTTCTAGCTCCCTACTCCCCGACGCCTCTCCTCTCTCCCTTTCTCCTCCTGTCTAATTCTCCTCCTGTCTAAGAGACCTCTCTCGCACCCCACTCTTCCTTCTCAACCCCACCCCTCTTTCCTAACCGCCCCCCACATCCTTCCACAAACTACCTTGCATTCTTCTTCCCTTCCACCCTCATCCACTTCCCAGCCTACCCTTTCTCTCTCTTTCCTGGCCCTCTAAACCCCTAACCCCACTATCCGACCTTCAACCCTTTTTTCCCTCAACCCATCCTGCTTGGCCCTTCCTTAGTCCTTTAATCTAAGCTTTTTCAACCCAACCCCTCTCATCCCCATTCCCGTCCCTCCTCTCTTTCCCTCCCTCCTCCGCCTTTGAACCTTCGACTGCCATAGTCCTGTTAACCCTCAACTCCTACTCCCCCTGAGCCTCTGCCTACCATCACTGTCACCCCCAATTCTGTTGTATGCCCCTGTCTGACCTCTTCTCCACTTGCGGCTCTGAGGTCTACCTCCCATTCCACTCTCAAGCTCTCCCCAGCGGCATCCCCGGATCCCCCGGCTCTGCCACCCACTCCTGCAACCGGACACGGTCTCTCCTTCTCAGGCCTCTTCACCCTTGGTGGGTTGCAGCTTCGTCTCAAACATGGACAAGGCCTAAGGCGACATCAACTAGGTTCTTCACATTATGGGCTTCAAATTGATGGCTCCAAGGAAGACGTCAAGGCATTCGTCTAGTTCGATGCCCAAACCAGGGTTTAAAGTAAGTAAAAAAGGATCCAAAGAACTCTCCAAACTTGCTTTCGAAATTAACTACGACTAAGGAGTTTCAGCCTCCCTCTGTGCCCCATCCTCATCGGTGGCCTCCTCTACTCACACCACTCTTAGATGCTCTGCTAAATGTCCCCCTCCTCTCCATCCCAGCCCATGAAACTTTTGGTTTGGAATATCCACGGGATCGGCACAACCCAAAAAAGCAATTTTGTTTGCTTGCTCTACACCAAACTCTCCCCTTCCATTCTTTCCCTAATCAAAACCAAGCACGCTTCCTCATCTCTTAGTTAGATTTGTCAAGTTTGGGGCCAAAGACCTTGGCAATGGGTGGCTCTGGAGGTAGAGGGGGATTCCAGAGGTACATGGGTTATCTGGGACCCTTCCTCCCACACCCTCATCTCCTCCCATGTAGTTGCTTTCTCCA